TCAATTTCTCTCTCTCTCTTAGTCGGTTTAAGCTCTCAAAATGGCCGAAGAAGTGTTGTATCAAAAGTGTATGAAGTGTGATTAAACAAGTCCTAGAATTGTCCACTAAGTGGCAAAATGGTAGATAAGTCTAACTTAATTAATTTAACTTTATTTAATCTAATTTAATCATACCAAATCACATTTCAATTAAACATGCCATAAAATCACATAAATTCTAATTAGCACATATCACCAATCAATTTCGGATTTGGCTAGCGATAAGGCCTTCAATTTGCAGTTTAAAACATAATACATGAACAGATCATTTAACAGTCAAACAGATAGAAATGCATTTAAACTAATACCCTCAATCAATCAGTTCAGAATTTCAGTCTAATCAGTCACTTATCATGTTCGGTTACAGTTTAGCAGTAATCAGTGGTGAGGGTTGTCACAGTGTATAAATTGGAAATTGTTCTGTAAAGGCTCAGAAGACCTCGGCAAAACCTAAAGTTTACACTGGGATAAGAATTTGTGAAGATCAGAGGGGGATTTGTTCCAGTTTTCCCTAAGATTCGTGTGTTCTAGGGCAAATCCCAAACCTAAGTCTAAGCAAATGGAGATTGAACGCAAGAATCTGGAGAAAATGCAGAAAACACAAACAAGAACAGTAATTCAGAGTCAAGAACAGTGATGGATCATCAACAAACACAAAACAAAAGTTTGCGCCGGTGTATCAGGCCAAGAACAGTGGCAAAAATCAACAAATGTGTGAACAGTGTGAACTCAGGAAACAGATGGGGCAAAAAACAGATTCATGAAACAAACATATGGTGGAAAACAAGATACAGGTTGAAATATCAAAGATAAGAGCAGGATTGCAGAGGCAGAGCAGGGGAGTTCAGTAAAGCAAGACAAAAAACTGAAACAAGAAGTTAAATCGGGAAGAAACAGTAACTCACCGAAAAAAAGAAGCCGGTGTTGAGTTCACCGAAGTCAGACGAACTGCAGCAACGAAAAAGATTAGCAAGAGCCTCACAGAAGGAGGTAAACGGCGGTGGTAGCAGAACTTGAGAGCTTGGAACAATGGAGGATTGAAGAAAGTAAGAGAGAGAGAGAGTTCGAACAAAAACGATGATAAGTGAAAAGACGAAGAGAGAGGGAACGAGTTTTGTCAAAAATGCGAAGAGGCGGCAAAATGCAATTAAATATGCCTGGAACGACGTATCTGTCAGATGGCGCACTCAGGCACGAGGCAATTTAATGGCGCGTATCAAACACGGTCCAATGGATTAAAAACGCGTGGCAGAAACGGTTGAAATGTTGTGCGTGACAGCTCATGCGCGTGATAGACATCTTGGAGTTCACGATTTAACGATGATAAGACCTCGGCGATTAGGGCGATCTCGGCTAAATAAACTTGAACAAACTAGATTATTGATTCTAAAGCCTTGATGAGACAGACTATAGGTCCTGGTCGTGTGAAGCCGATGTATTATGACCACGGTAATAAATGATAGAGCAAGATAGCCGACATGCTATGCGGTATGACGATATAGGTTCTATCATCTCAGGATGTCGAGGTAATGAAACCTAGGAGACAGTTGTGGGGACATATTTTTTGAGTACCAATACGTGGCCAAGGTGACGCCGACGTGGCAGCCGAGGTGCCACGTGTCCCGGTCGTAACGTCGAGGTAATCTCGGTTAGGCCGAGGTTATCTCCGAAGATATCGGAATCTGAGATAAGCGGATAAGGAACAAGAGTCCTAGAATAAAGAAAGGACTTCAGCCTGGATAAGGATAAAACTCTTAGGGAGTTTATCTTTATCTATTGAAGAGTCCAAGATAAGCACCGAGCTAAAGTCCATTAGAGCAAGGCTTCTATTGGGACTAAGATTGAGTTAACTATAGAAGAGAGGCACCCCTATGGATATAAGGTATGTAATTTATATTCTGAACCGTGAGTTAAGCACTTGATTTATCTTTGAGAGATCACTGACTTGATCGTCGGAGTGCCCCCGGGTGGACGAACCACCGTCGGAATCTCTTTTTTCTGTTGCAGGTCAATCATGCGCCATCTATTCTGCCAAGTGCTCTCTAGCTAAATACTGAGTTGGCAATGTAGTCAGAAATTCACTCACATAGCAATCAATGCATGTAATTTTTATCATTTTTTGGGTTCTTCTATAACTTGAGTTTGTAGTTTCAGTTTGTCAACAAAAACTATGCAAAATCATTTTTACCACTCCACAACTGTTCAATAGCAAATGTAGATTAATATAATGAATTTTTGAATCTTTACCATTACGGTTATTTGAGAGATCATTGATTATCCGAATACAGGCATGGATGGGTATATTATATATGAATTATTTTATTTTATTTTTTTAAGCTTTAGATGCTTTTAAAAAGGTTAAAAAAATACTAAAATAAATATAAAAAAGCACACACACACAAAAGGCAAAAAAAAAAAATCCAACCAAAAAAAAAATACACACGGATTTTGTTCGAATTTTCTTTTGTTTATATAATTTTTGTTTTATATTTTAGTTCATTTTTTGCTTTTTATTAAAAAAATATTTAAGATAGTCTTTTAAAAATCAAACCAAATAAAATTATTTTTTAACTGGTGTTTGAATTTTGAATTGAATATGAATTTATGAATAAACATAAAAAAGAAAAAGTAAAAAAAATATAATATTTTATTTTTATCAAATTTATCTTCTTATTTCCTTTTCTCCCACAAATGTTACATAAATAAATTTAAGATTTAACACAATTTTTAAAGTGTTGATAAGAGGATATAAATAGAACCACTTGGCTGGGCTAGTGGGTGAGATTTTACATCATGTAAGTTTGAGAAAGGTAGCAAGTCATTATCATTGTAATCTACATTTTCTCTTGTCCTATGTAGTATATCATCAAAGTCAGCTCATCTTACGGGTTAGCCCGGGCTAGACCGTGTTTCAGCTCTTCAATGCCCGGCCCGGGTCATTAAAACGGGTCATTCAAAGTTTTCACTACATTAAATTTTATTTTAATTTTTTTACAAAATCAATGGTAAATCTGATCTTTTTCAGAATTTTCAATAGTTATATATTTAGGATATGTTTGAAAAATTTTCAAAAAAAAAAATTTATACAAAAAAATAAATATATATATATATATATATATAATTAGAGTGTTCTATATCAAAATAAATTTTTAATAAAATTTTCACTCAAATTTGATGAATAAAAAAACAAGAATAGTAAGTGCTCTAAAAACCATATATATATTAGTGAACTTTTACAGATTTATTTACAAATATGTTACATTTTTTTAGGTACATATAGGACATGTGTGATTGGGTGGATTAGAATATGAGATTGAGATTATTAATCCGTGGGCCCAATTATTCAATGTTTATTTTAATATTTTGGTTTAGGATTATTAATCCAATAGATAATTAATCCAACAAATTTATAGAATTATTAGTAATGGGGTAGGGGTGAGATTATTAATCCAATTAGATAGTAAATACTACACTAACTACATACATTTAAAAAGCAAAACTTAAAATAAAAGCTAAATAAAGACCAAAATAACTGAAAATAAAAAAATGCAAAAAAGCAATTTTAAAAAATTAAATCAATTACAAAATGATCACCCGCCAATGATATTATATACTAACATATGTATACATATATTAGAGCATGCCATTGATATTAGGTATTTTTCAACCATGGTTTGAACTAGTCAACATAAGGTGGCATTTGAAGGAATCTTACTCCTTACATGCATGTATGCTATTGTAAGATGACAGACAGGTAACATGTATGTATATAGAGGTCAACGATCAACTCATTAGGCATACATATTAATTACTTGTTTAATAGCTCATTTCACATGTTAATTTTGCTATGAGTAATGTTAGAGAACTTAAATGATTTATCAAATATTTTATTAAACCCTTTATGTGAAACCCACACATATGTGTGTTTGTGTGGATCCTACACTCATATAAAAAATTTAGTAAAACATTTAGTAGATTATTTGGAGTTTATAGCATTTTTCTTTTGCTATAAATAGGACAGTGGGAATTGCAAGTATTCCAACTAAATGTTGAAATCTTAGTAAAAATTAACTTATTTTACCCAACGAAAAAATCACTAAAATTGTTAATGAATCCACAAATGTGATGCATATGACAAAAAAAAATAAAAAAATAAAAATTAAAAAACGTCTGGGTATAAAAATCTGTGCCACATGATTGAGAAACAAACATTGACCATTCATCCGATGATATAAACTTGAATAATTATATCCTAATCTTTGTTCTTTTATCTATCGCCATCGAACATCTCTATTCCTTTGTCTGTTTTTTGTGCTTGTTGAAACCCAGAGTTCTTTTACTTGTGAGCCTACAATAAGTGAACATCAAAGGATGAATGAAAATTGGTGATTGAAACTCCTCTCCTCTCGATGTAAGCAAATCAAAATAGAGATTTTGTTTAAAAAAAATTGTATTTATTAATAATAATATACTCTATTATCAAAAGCACACAATTGAAAAAAAAAAGAAAAGAAAAGAAAAAAGAAGATGAAGAAGAAGAAGTTATGTCACATTTTTTTTGATTTTTCAATAATCTCCTAAAATTATTAATTACAAAATGCACATTCATTAATTACTCTAAATAACGTATAAATCAAAATAATTTTCTTCATTTATTAAACCGTTTAAAATCGCTCAATTTTTTAAAAAAAATACTTTTACAAGCACATCACGAAATGAAGGGTGAAATTGAAATTTTTAAAATTTAAAACCCAAAGTAAAAATTAAAGTCGGCTTAAAAGCACAAAAGTGTAATTTACCACTTTTAACTACAAACAATTAGTTGGATTTTTTTTTCCTATCATCGAATTCAAATAGAAAATCCATATAGCACGTGTGAAAGTTTTCACACCAAGCCTTCGCACGTGTAACTGCCAGAGAGAGAAACGACTCGGTTTTTGGTTACAAACAACGACATCAACAAAAACAAAGGCCGCTCTTTTCTCTTCTGTCTCCTTCCTCTTCTCTGAGAAATCATTCATCACCAACCCAGTAAAGCTTCGTTCCTTCCCTCTCCTCATTTTTCATACTCTACCACACACATACATATACATACATAATTGAATCAACAACAGGAACAACCTAGAAAGAGACAGAGAGAGAGAAAAAAAGGAGATCCACAGCATCTGAATCTGTATGGAACAACTCATTAACTTCATCATTCGTCCCCCCAGGTACCCACAAGCACCACTTTCAAGTTTCAGCTCTTTCTCTGTGTATATATGTATTCGCATCTATCTGGGAATGTGCGTGTATGTATGTATGTATGTTTATTATCGAAGTTCACGTTTTTCTCCCAAAATTTCGACATGTATGAGTTGAATTCTGTTCTGGGTTTTAGTTTTTTGTTGTGATTTTTTCTGGGTTTTGTTTGTTTTACTTGGTGGGTTTTTTTGTTTGAAATTGAAGCATACCTGGTTTGTATAATTTGTTCGATTGGTTTTAGATTCAATACCCTTTTTGAGTATTCTATAAAGTTTCTATTTTTGGTGAATCTGTGGGTTCTAATTACTTGTATTGACTGTTTGATTGGGTGGAAAATGAAGTCCTTTTGCCTGACAATTTTTTACATATGGTTTGTTGCTGTGTTGTTTCTGTTTAGGGTTTCTGGAGTTAGATAGATCCTGCTGGACATCTTATTACTTTTTAATTAGCATTTTTTCTGTGGTTTCAATTAAATTCTCAAATTTTCTTATTATTTAATTTGAAATACTTACATATTGAACGTAAAATTCCTGTGGGTTTTGATTGGTGTGATGTGTGAGGCTGGGGGTTATAAAAGTATACATATAGATAGATGCACTCATTTGTAATTCTCTTTTAAAAATGATTGATAGGATATTATCTAACTTAGATTTTGGATCTTAGCCATATGGCATGTAGTAGCATATCGGTGGAATTTGTATGACCTATATCTTGTTTTTTGTTGATGGGATATTCCTCTATATGGATTTCAAATCTTTCTTGCACAACTACTGCTTATGTGGTTGATCTATAAACAGTCCTGAACTACATAATATTATTTTATTAAATTAATGGAAGTTCTGAGGACCATAGATGCTCAAAACAATGTTATTTTGGTTTCTTGAATGTTGAGTCATTCATGTTTTTTTAATTTTTTTTATATATGTAATTTTTAACTAAAATGTAATTTGTCAGATATTTATGAATATGCACTACTTATATGCAAAAAATCTAGGTCTTCAAATCTTTGTTTCGTTGGATAAATACACAATCTTTAGCCTTTACTATAATCAGGCCTTGTGTAGTATGTCCATTACTGTGGTCTACTGTTTTTTGTCCTCATATTTGTCTTAAAATAATTGCTTATAACACTTCCAAGTTTATATCAGTGTTAAATGTAACTGACCTTAGTGATATCTTTAACCATCTCTGCCAAACATTTCTAGCTATGCTGAAAATTATTCTAATAATTAGTTAATCTACATCTTTGTTGGGCTGCAGAGCTGAATATGACCCAAAAAATGATCTATTGGATCAAGAATTCATGCTGAAAGGGAAATGGTTCCAACGTAAGGATGTGGAGGTAAGATGTAAATGTGCGTTGGTTCCATATATGTTTATATTCCAAGAACAGCATATTATATCCTATCAAGAAAGAACCATATGTTCGGTTGTTCTTGGGTGAATCTGCTTACTGATGATGATTACCTAGTGAGCAACTGCTTTCTGCTTGGCCGTTTCACTGCTGGCCTCAAGCCTTTGAGTTCGTTCCTTCAATTCATGCATAGTATCGAATATTTGGGTTATTTTTCAAGTGATACCTATATTTTAGCATTTTGTGGTTTGTGGTAGGATACTGTTGAACTTGTTAAGAATTCTAAAGCTAATTACGGTTAGTTTTTCTGTCCATAACAAAAAGAATTGTAGGAATTTGTAAATTAGCAAACTAGTTGCAACCTTGCAATTATACCAATGTAAATCATCTGTTCCTGTCAAAATGAAATTTATTGACTCTTTTTTTTATAAGACTAATGGAATGTAGCATTTGAAGAGTCTGAAGAAGCTTCAGTAGTAGTCTAGATAGTAACATTGGGAAGCAATCCAAAATTGGGAAGTCAATTTGATCTATCAAACCTTAGTCAGAAGCTCGAGTTTTCCCCCCTATGAAATCCCAGTACTGTAACTGATATATGTAACTTGTTGTCATAGTCTGATTCCACTGTGCAATTCACTGCACTGTGTAACAAATTTGATGACATAAAAAAGGGTAGCTTGGATCTATTTAAAATTTTGTTTTCTATTTTTTCTGCTGCTGTTAACAATTTTCAACTGACTTCTCGCACATGCTTGGCTCACAGGCTTGTGAAACTATGAATATTGTGTATACCACTTTATATTCTTTTTTTGATAAGTAATCTCTCTTTTATGTTCATACACAAGATGATCCATTCTTGATGTGCTATTGCATTTTTTTTACAAGTAAAAACTATTATATAAAAAGGCACCAAGGGGGCACCCCCCAATTCTTGATGTGCTACTGCATTATGAGAAGTTTAATTTCTAGCAAGTGATCAAGTTTGATCATAAACTTTTTAATCATATTTTTTTTAAACCAAGTTATAGAGAAATTCCTGTCATTATTCTTTTTCTTTTATTGAAGACTATCTATTATATTTCTATGCATCCTTGATCATGTTAAATTTATTTCCTCATCTTCAAATTCTTCAAATTCCTCACTAGCTTTTGGCCTTTTATCATTCTGCAGGTTACAAACAGTCGAGGAGATGTTCTCCAATGTAGTCATTACATGCCTATTGTTTGTCCAGAAGGAAAGGCTTTGCCTTGTGTAATCTATTGCCATGGAAACAGGTTAGAAAATAAATGTGGATGAGTAGAGATAGTTCTTATAGAAAAAGTAAGGATAGTATATGGAATATCAAAGGTCTGTCTAATAATTTTTCTAAAAATATAGGTCCTTCACTTGCTTTCTGTCATAGTATGGATGAGTATTAAGCTGGTAGATAATTGAATTAGCTTTAACAAATTCATTCTGTAAATCTGTTTTACTAACAAGTTGTCTGTATTGATTTTACCAGTGGATGTAGGGCAGATGCCAGTGAAGCGGCTATAATATTGTTGCCTTCAAACATTACTGTTTTCACCCTTGATTTCTCAGGGTCTGGACTATCTGGAGGAGAGCATGTCACATTAGGGTGGAATGAAGTAAATGGCTGAGCAATTTAAATATTTCCTATTTTATAATATAAAGTCTGTGTGAATGGAGTGTATGATGTCAGATGATCAAATGAGTTGCTCCAGTCAAATACATTCTTTGAAGATTGAAATTGCTGATGTATAATTTAAACCCTATTATTAACTAAAATCCAACTCACACAAAAAATGATGCTTGCGATTTTATGTGTTGCACGTAGAAAAAAGAAATCTACTATATCTATAATTGATAAATCAACTCTTGAATGTGTTTTATACATTACTATTCATAAAGTACACACTACATGTATAATATTATATGGTCTGTGCACATTTACTATTGAGGTTTGTAGAGGTATTTAACTTATTTTTGTCCAAAAATAAATTGTTATTATATTGTCCCAAAATATCTTTAGATTTAAAGTAGGCATTTTGAGCCCCTCTTGTGATTTTTTTTTTTGTTCTTCTTTTGGGCTATGTTTCATCATGGACTCTTCAAAATAGATCAAGTACCCATATCAGACACTTGACAGACACTCTGTAATAAAAAATCGTAAAAATTGGTTTGTAGAGGAAAATTTGAATGGGGAGTTGTGCAGCCGTAATTGTTGACTTTTGGTGAATAGTGTTAACTTTTTAACTTTTTGAGTAACTTTTTGGCTTTTTGACTTTTTGGGAACATCCCAAACTTGGCCTTAAAGTAGGCATTTTGAGCCCCTCTTGTGATTTTTTTTTTTTGTTCTTCTTTTGGGCTATGTTTCATCATGGACTCTTCAAAATAGATCAAGTACCCATATCAGATTTTTTTTTTGTTCTTCTTTTGGGCTATGTTTCATCATGGACTCTTCAAAATAGATCAAGTACCCATATCAGACACTTGACAGACACTCATATAAGGTTATGGGATATGTGTTTGATACTTCCCTCTTGATATGCGTTAAAAAAGCATATCCATCAATTCAATATTTTATAAAATCGTATTTAACACTGGTATTATATGTTTTTATTTTTATTTTTATTTTTGCATGATTGCTATAAAATGAGTGAAGTGCTTTTTTTTGATATTATGTTACATAAAACATCATTTTATTGCTAAAAATAGATGAAAATGTAAAAATATGATATTTTTTTTTTGAGTTCGCATATCCGTCAATTAGAGGGACGATGGGTCCAACCCTCAGATACACACCTGCACCCGAGACTCATACAAGAGTCCATGTAACATATCTTTTGGGTGTGTTTGCATGCGTTGTCTACGAGGAAAGAGTTTCTCTTGCTGTTTATTTATGTTCTACCTAATGGGGAGATTAATAATGATAATTATTTGTATTTCAAGGCAAGTGGACAAATTTTCATCTATGGTGAAATTCTGCCAGATTTCCTTTTGTATTAAATTGATCTTGTAACCTAAAAGCTGTATTGGCATACTAAAAGATATGTAAGTTGTGCAATTTCATTCTTTTATGATGCTCGTGTAGTAGCTTTTTATTTATTTGGCAGTGAATGTTTCGGTTGTGGCAATTGTAGTTCTTTATGGACCAATCAATGATAATCTTGGATATAGCTATTCTTTCTTGCTAGCTGACAAATTGTGGTTCTTTTTTTTTTCTTTTCTCCAGAAGGATGATCTCAGAGCTGTTGTTGATTACTTGCGGGCAGATGGAAACGTTTCTTTGATTGGTTTGTGGGGCCGCTCAATGGGTGCTGTTTCTAGGTTCTCTTCATGCACTTGCTGTACTTTGTTTCTTGTAACAAGAAAGCACAGGGACCCAATATTATATATTTATTCAAAACAAATAAATTCAGTCAAGGTGTCCCCAATTTAATGCATAGTAACCTAGGTCCTTTATTCTTGCCATGAAGGGTTACCAAAATGCCATGAAGGTGTCCCCAATTTGAGTTTCGCAGACGACTCATGGTATTTGGAAGGCGTGCACTCCTTCCGTACGTTCTGGATGTGTTATTATCCCAACCAATCCCTTAATCTTTGGTTTGGTTGAAATTTACATGCCAACAATATCACTTATAAATTTCTCTTTTAGTGACAAGATATTTTAATTTTGGTTCTTCAGGTTTCAATAGCTAACATAAATACACTACAATATTTAATGAGCCTAGAGCTATTCCAAGGTCTCTCTGCTAGTGCATTTTTCATTAACGATATGAATTGCCATGTGCAGCTTAATGTATGGAGCTGAAGATCTTTCGATTGCAGGGATGGTTCTTGACAGCCCGTTCTCTGATTTGGTTGACTTGATGATGGAACTTGTGGATACCTACAAAGTCCGTCTTCCCAAGTTCACTGTAAGTTGATCCATTTGTGCCTTTTAAACAATGTAAAAGTTGCAATTTACTCAATATACAAGTTCTTTATGCCTTTTGCTGATTTTCCAGTTGCAAAGATTGTGATGCATTGGGTGCTGTGGCCTGAAGCCTGATACATTGCAATTTACTTTACTTTTTCTAACTTTTAGGTGAAGTTTGCAATCCAGTACATGCGACGAGCTATTCTAAAGAAAGCCAAATTTGACATAATGGAACTGAATACCATCAAGGTTTGTTCCTACCAAATAATTTATGGAACCTACGAATTCTCCAATTAGGAGTTGTGCGCTTTAACCATTCAGCCATGGATGCTTTTTTGGGATGTAGCTCTGGCAAATCATCTGAACATGATCCTCTATGAAATTATGCTTTTGTTTATCATTATCTTATTATTATGAATTCACTTTTGTAATCTTAACTTGCCGTGTGAATTGCTTCTGTCATGGAAAGGGTTTTGAGGCTCTTTTTTTGTTTTTATTTTATTATTATTATTTTTTTTTGCGAGGATGGGGATATAATTTCCAGCAATGTGTTAGCTGGATGACAATTGTCTATATAGCAAAGACAGTTGCCTTATTTGTAAAAAAAGAAAAGAAAAAAAAAAGGAAGCTAAAATGCAAATTCTGGCTTCCTGATGCTTTATCTTAGGAGGCCACTGATAACAGAGAATGAATAGAAATCTTGTATTACTCAAATCAAGCAATTAGTACAAATATATAATTTAATAGACTAAAACCCTAATAACCTGAAAGACTAAACTACCCTTAATGAATAATATAAAATACAATCATTCACACCCTCCCTCAAACTAAGGATGCGAGCGTAGAAAGCATCGAAAGTTTGCCAAGAAGAAAATGAAAACAAAAATGAGCAACAGTGTGAGTCTTTGTAAAAAAATCGGCCAACTGAAGAGAGGAGAGAACAAAAGGGGAAGTAATAGTGTCAGCCTGAAGATGCTGTCTGACAAAGTGACAATCGATTTCAACATGCTTGGTCCGCTCATGGAAGATAGAATTATAGGCAATTTGGACAGCACTCTAATTATCACAATACAACGGAGTTGGATCAGAAAGAGAGACACCCATATCAGAAAAAAGCCACCGAAACCAAATGATCTCAGAAGTAGCATGAGCCATGGCACGATACTTAGCCTCAGAGGTGAAACGAGCAACAATAGACTGTTTCTTACTCTTCCAAGATATAAGAGAATCTCCTAGGAAAACACAAAGACTAGAAGTGGATTCGCTATCAGGGACATCCTCGGCCCAATCAACATCAGCTTAGGCACGAAGAGTCAAGTCCGAAGAGGCAGATAACAGCAGACATTGCAACAAAATGCCACGAAGGTAGCGTAGAGTACGGAGTAAGGCAGCCCAGTGTGTGGAATGACGAGCAGAAACAAATTGACTGAGAATGTACACAGCATAGGAGAGATCCGGACGAGTAACGGTGACTTGCGATACAAAGTGGTGTTTTGGGAAGTTGGTAAAAAGTTAATTTTTTGACTTTTTTAGTCTATTTTGCCTTTTTGTGGGTAAAAAATGTGAGAGGTGATGTGATCCAAAATGAGTAAAAAGTTAAAAGCTGACTTTTTTTTTTTGCTTCCCAAAAGAACCCAAAGTGGGATCCTCAAGAGGAACGCCATGAGAAGCCAAAAACTTAGCATGCAATTCAATAGGAGTATTGACAATTTTGGCATCAGTGAGATTGGCACATGAAAGAATATCATGGGCATATTTAGTTTGAGAGAAAGATACCCAGTAGGAGAAGTAGCAACCTCAATACCAAGAAAATACCGAAGAGACCCCAAATCCTTCATCTTGAACTCCTGAAACAACTAATGCTTAACCTCCTCAATAGGACTATAATCAGAGCCAGTGATGATCATATTATCTACACATAAGAGAAGGAGAACAAGGCCAACAGAAATGCGCCGAACAAAGAGAGCACAATCATGATGACTAGGGGGAAAACCAAGCTAAAGTGCAACAGAGTGAAATTGCTCATACCAAGCATGAGGAAACTGCTTGAGACCATATAGAGCACGGCGAAGACGATAAACAACACCTGGAGGGTGAGAGAGACCCAGTGGAGGGTGCATATACATTTCTTCAGCAAGATACCCATTCAAAAAGCATTTTTGACATCTAGTTGAAACAAAGGCTAGTGATGAGCAGCAACAACAGAGATAAGAGTGCGAACAGTAGTCATCTTGGCAACGGGGGTAAAAGTCTCATCATAATCAATCCCATACTCTTGAGAAAAGCTCTAGGTGACCAAACGAGCTTTGTACCGTTCCAAAGAACCATCAGAAAGGATTTTGACCTTATAGACCCATTTATAGCCTATAACGTTCTTGCCAGTAGGTAATGGAATCAAATCCCAAGTCTGAGTGTTAGTCAAAGCAGTTAACTTGTCATTCATAGCAGTCCAATTGGGATCATGACAAGCTTCCTTGTAGGGACCTGGGCTCAAAATAAGTATGAAGACATGAAAGAAAAGACTAATAGAAAAGGGAAAAAACATGTATTACCAAAACCATATTAGTTCGGAGGATGACGGTCTCGCTGTGAAAAGCGATGTGCAGAAAGAGAGGGACCCAAAGAAACAGCTGGAGGGACAGTAGAGCTAGAGACAGGCGAGATCGGAAGTGCATTGCGACGCTGATAAACAAGAAAAAGAGCAGGGGAAGCGGGAGCAGGAGTAAAGGAAGGAGTAACTAGCGAGATATCAAAAGTGCGAGTAAGAGGCAAGGTAGAGACCTCAAAACAAACTCATCGGTAGAAACATCACGAGGAAATGGGTCAACATGAACCAATTCATCCTTGGTGATAGGGACAGGAGTGGAACGGTATAGTGTAGTAGGGTAGTTTTTCTAGAAAAGTGACACACCTAGACACATAGAACTTTTTGGTGGCAGGATCATAGCACTGACAACAGTTCTGATTAATGTCGTACCCTAAAAAGACACAAAGGACACAATGAAAACTAAGCTTAGAGCGCTCGTGTTTAAAAAGGAGCACAAAGCATGTAGAATTGAAAACATGAAGAAGAGAATAATTGGGAGCAACACCAAAAAGATGCTCATACAGAGATGAGTCTGAGAGAAAAGGAGTAGGCGTCTGATTGAGAAGATATGTAGCAGTGAGTACAGCCTCTCCCCAAAAGATAGAAGGGACAAAAAACGAGAGCAATAAAGAACGAGCTGTATAAAGAAGATGACGATGTTTGTGCTCAGCTCGACCATTTTGGACAGGAGTGTTAGAACACGAAGATTGATGAATAGTGTCATGAGTAGCTAAAAACTCCTCAAATTCAGACAAATAATACTCACCCCCCAAGTCAAAACAGAGAACTTTAATAGTGGTGGAAAATTGAGTGCAAATCATGGAGTGAAAATTAGAATATATTTTGTAAAAATCAGATTTTCGAGTCATCAAATAAACCCTAGTAAACCGACTATAATCATCCACAAAAGACACATAATATTGCGAACCACCTTTGGTAACTATAGGGGAAGGATCCCAAACATCTGTATGAACCAAATGAAAAGGAGAAGAAGAAATAGAACTACTTTTATTAAAAGGAAGAGTAAACATTTTAGCCAGTTTACAACATCGACACTCAAAAATATCATCAATGGGAAAACTGCCTAAATGTCCAGACCGAACTAACATCCTCAAATGGTCACTCGATAGATGACCTAATCTAGAATGTCAAATATAAAATAAAGAAGATTTATTGTTTAAACAGAAAGAAAATAATGCAGTAGAAGACACTTCTAGAGGAATATGCAATTTGTCCAAGATAGAGTTTGCCAACTCTACGCCTGATTTCAATCTTCCTCCTGGATATCCGATCCTACACAACACAATCAGAAGAAGAGAAAACAACATCAAAATCGGAATCAGATAATTGACTAATAGAAATAAGATTGAGTGATAGGTGAGGCACATAAAATACAGGAGAAAGAGACAAATAGGAAGAGGAAATAGAACCAATAGAGTGTACAAACATAGAAGAACCATTAGTAGTAGCAATAATAATAGAAAAAGAAGGGGAGACATAATTACTAAGGAGAGATGCAACATGGGTCATATGATGTGAACAACCAAAATCTAAAATCCATGAAGTGTGGATATTACCTGAAGAGGATGAACCAGACAAACCTAATTGAGTGGTAGTCATAATGAAGGCCTGGGACGAAAGATTTGGATTAGCTACCATAAAAGACTTAAACTGCTCAAACATAGACTGCATATTGGAAGACGAACCATTCTCAGAAGTTGGTGCAGAAAAGGCGGCAGATGAGTGAGATCCCGAATATAGCGGCTTAGAGGATGGTGGACCAGACGAACGACCCTTTGGTTGCAAAAGTTTAGGATAAGCATGTTTCCAATGACCTCGTTGATGACAGAAGATACACTTATCTATGGAAACCTAAGGCTTGGGCTGAGCAGTAACCTGAAATAAATGAGTTGGTGGGGAAGGCAAGAGCAAAGGAGTGGCAAAAACTGACTGGGAGGTAGGAGCACCATGAGCCACCTTAAACCGAGTTTCTTTCTCAATAAGCTCATAGACAGCACCATCAATAGAAGGTAAGGGGGACCGATGAAGAATAGCTCCCCGAAGTGGCTCAAATTGATCACGAAGGGCCATAAGAAATTGAACAAAACATTACTTCTCCCGATACTTGGTATAGCTGTCAAGTAACTGCAAATCTGATGGTTTCATTAAAGCAAGCTGATCCCAATAAGTTGTCATCTTATTGTAGAACTCCTGAATGGACTTATCTTTTTGACTAGCACCATGAATAAACATCTAAAGTTCATACTGTTTTGCAAAGTTAAACTCAAGGTATATAGTTTTCAAATAGTCCCAAACTTGTTTAGAAGTAGAGTACTTGGAAAAATTCATACCAATGGTAGTTTGAACTAAATTATGAAACCAAGTAAGAATTTGTGCATTTTCCTTATCCTATTTAGAAACATCAGCCTCAGCTTCTTTGGATTCCATAGGTCTAATAGTTACACCAATAACATAGTTCCACATGCTTTTACCCATTATAAAATTTTTCATTACATGAGACCAATAAAAATAATTGGTAGCATCTAACTTAGTGGTGATAGCTTGCAGTTTATCATCAGCCATATTGCTATAACCAAAAGACACAACGAAATCAAAGCAGAGTGAAAGGTAGCAGAAGAGAGATAGAGATAAACGACCAGCAAAGAACCAGATATCACATGAATAAACAACTACCAACTAGAAGTCGAACAACAGGGGCTGTGAGACAGAGACAAGACGAACCACGAACCAAACAAAAACGTGCGAACCTGAAGGCTGAAAGGGGAGACAAGTCACAAGTCACGAGTCACGATCCACTTGCGAGAAGATAAAGAGTGATGTCGATGGTCGATGATGTAAGAGAGAGCCAGCGACAGACCTACGATGAACTGAGATGGACAGAAACGATGGTTGATGATGCGAGAGAGAACCAGTGACAGAGTTGCAATGCGAGAAAGAGCCAGTGACAGACCTGCGATGAACTGAGATGGGCAGAAACGATGGTCGATGACCTGTAGTATGCAACTTTTGGTGCCAATAATAACCTAGGTTCGATCGTAACTTTGCTCTGATACCATGATAACAGAGAATGAATAGAAATCTTGTATTACTCAAATCAAGCAATTAGTACAAATATATAATCTAATAGACTAAAACCCTAATAACCTGAAAGACTAAACTACCCTTAATGAATAATATAAAATTCAATAATTCACAGACACAACACATCCATAGGCAAGTTATGTCAACCACTGAAGCACTGCGCATACGTCAGATGTCATGAAATGGCTTTAGAACTATTTTAGATCATAGGCGTATATTGATTAACTTTCCAGTGTCAGTTCCAATGAAGTTTTGGTTTCTTATCCTTTGGTTGTGAATGCTAACCTCACAAGTGGGACACCAACTAACATGAGAATTTAACATAAGTATGATTTGGTTATGGGTTAATGAAGTGAATTATTTTGTTTTTCCTGAGGTGATGATACCTTTTCTATCTAACTAGAAATGCTCTCACTTGTCTAAGACGCGATGGTGTACAACTGTATAAGATGTGAAAGGGAGATGTTACTCATGGTGTTGTTTCTGTGGATTATCTGGCTTTCTAAGTAGGCATTGTAATAGAAATGTGTGGGAATAAGTATTAATTTTATGGTTTTCCCTATTGAAGTAGTGTACAATCCTGTTAATGTTTACCGTTTTGTTGTTTTTCATTATATTTTTCATGAGAGTGATTGCCATCATTTCTTTTATAGGTAGCGAAGTCGTGTTTTGTTCCAGTTTTGTTGGGGCATGCTGTTGATGATGATTTTATACAGCCTCATCACTCAGATCGTATATTTGATGCTTATGTGGTAATTGTCTCCTGAAGTTAATGGTAGAATATAATATGTAAGGATTTGGTATATTTTCATGTAGGCATGCATTATATATTTTACTGTATCACAAGATATAATTTATTGTCTGCTTATCAGAATAAAGTGTATTTCTGATCTCTCCTACCAGTTTAATACTTTTATTTTGTTAATTGTTAGATTCTAAGATTGCCAAAGACGAAGGAAAATTGTGAAATTTGGCATTGTGACTGGGGTTTATTATTATTGTTGTTGTTATTATTTTTGATAAGCATGGTGTGTATTGTGCACATCTACTGATTACAATCCTACTGGATTTGGGCTTAGCAAATTCTGTGAGATATATTTACTTCCTTCTCTCAGATGCCCTTTCCTTTCTGCTCTTTGGCCTCAGAAAATAATTATCTTTTAACATTTGGTTCAGGATCTTGTAATGTAGTTTGGCAGTTAATTTTTGATGATTGATCTAACCCTTCAATCAATTAGTATCACTGTGATCATTGTGATAGTTAACAGAGATGAATAACATTGCATTGAAAAGGAATTATTTGCAATATATTATCTGGTTATTTGCATTTCTTCTCTGGCATTCCATGATTTTGTACCATGCTGTTCTCATTTGTTTTAACACATGATTTTGGCAGGGAGACAAGAATATCATCAGATTTGAGGGAGATCACAACTCTCCACGTCCACAATTTTATTTTGATTCTATAAATATTTTTTTCCACAACGTTTTGCAACCTCCAGAGGGTGAAGTGGGGGGAACTTATTTTGATACAACACACGATTACTTTGGCAAAGTAAGTTGAACTACGAACCATATCCTATTTTACGTTTAAATTTTACTGAAATGAAAGGCATTATGGGTCCACAATTCCTAAACTACAGTTGTCTGTTTCACCTACAGGGTAGTTGGAGTGCCTTGAATGGAGTAGGATATGCAGATGATGATTTTTTCACTGCATCCATAGGTATTGACAAGTACTATTTGTCTAGTTTTCAAATGCTTCTTTCTATAGTGTCTTTTATTAGGAAAGCTCTTCTTATGTTGATTGCAGATCCAGCAGCAAGTAGCACAGAAGTTTCCATCAACCAGCTTCGCTCCAAGAGACCCATGAGTAGAATGGAGGTCAGTAGTTCATTGTTGGGTTTCTTAGAGAATATTATAGTAACACTTGATATTGAAGGTTAGACTTGTATTCTCTGTTAAATGAATAGTTCTGTGATGTGGTGCGTTGGCAACTGGGGAGTCTTGTTAATGGAATGAAAATGCAAGTATGTGGGAAACATTCATCGTGAAAAGTGACAAACCATTGCATCCACTGCATGGATGCATTACTGTATTGGGTTCAAATTTTATTTTATCATTTTAATTTATACTTATATTAATTTTCTTGTTGAAACTGTTCAGGTCCCTTCTGAAATTTCATCTAAAGATAAGCAATCAGAAGCAGAGGTATCTTTTTTCTCTTCTCCTGAAAACTTCTTTCATAGTTCTTACATATTGTATAAAGGTCAAGTTGTTTTGGATACCATACCCGTGAAGCTTAGTTAACTTATCAATAAGGAACTTTTGTATGTGGACAACTTTGGATGTTTTAATACAATCTTCTACACTGTTCATCTTTGTTTTTTTCGTGTTCTACCTCTGGGCTCTAATTCAGTAGAACCTGCAATGATTCTTTAGATGGGGAGACACACTATGGCTTGATGGAGTTTTTTTAGTTTCTGTGTTGCCAAAAGCCAAATTCATCAGTGACTAGTTTGAGAATTGTTATGGGATAGAGTGTGTTATTTATTCTCTTTTTGGCATTCGATTTCTAATCTTTATTAGGGATTACATTATTTTTTAATCTCTTATGTTTACTTGGTGGCGGACTTCATGTCTACTACTTGCTTGTACTTTTTATTTTTTCCCCCCTTCTTTCTTCTCCTTAATAAGAATATTCCTTTCGTTGCTGTTAAAAAGAAAAGGAAAGAAAGAAAAAGTTACATCAATCATCTATGCTGCAGGAAGAAGGATCTGGAACTAGGCCCGTCCCATCATCTTCTAAAATGATTAGCTTTGAATTTTCCAATGGTCATCCTTGTGGCCCCCATGTTCCAACCTCGATAGATGAGGATGAGTATGTTGAATACCCACTTGATAATTTAGCGGATTTCCCTTCCAATGTGGAAGAAGAAGAAAGGGTGAGTGAATATTTAATTGTTTCCTCCAAGTAATCAGATATATCTTGGTCTCGCCATTTGTATAAACCATGCTTTGTTTGACCTTTGGTTTTGCCAAAATATTTCAGATGTTCATGGAAGCAGTGATAGAGTCATTGAAAGACTTGGATATGAGACATCCTCATACTGGGGAACAGCCATCTAGTGCCAACACCAATCCACACGAGCCTTTGCAGAAAGAAAAAACTGCCGAGTCTCCAACAATAGATAATTGTGCGTCCTCAACGATAGAATCCACCACAACATTGGCAACTAATGGGCATAAGTTACCTTTCCAAATCCCATCTCCGGACACTACTTCGTCATCTACAGGACCTTCACCAAGTACAGGAGCTTCTGCCCATAGTGATGCTTCAACTGGCAGCACAAGCTTGGCCAGTAGCGATATGGTTGATTGTACAAAAGCCACTGTAACAGTTGAAAGGAACCCGTCAAGCAATATCATTGATGGTTTGATGCGGCGTTGGGATCTCAACTTCTTCCGGAACAATCGATAAGATTGGTTTTGAAGTTCAAACAATTTAATCTCATATCATATTATTTTGTAAGAAAGAAAATGGCAGGAATTGTAGTGTTGTGAAGTAGTTGACAGAAAAGAAGAAGAAGAAATTAAAGAAAAAGAAAACAGAAGAAATTGTTGTGAATGTGTATATCTTTGTGTGAGGAGGTTCTCTTGCCTCTTGTTTGTATTTTAAAATGTTTTACATTTGTTGACACGAAAGGGTGGTAATAGGAGGTGGAGGCAAATTTCTAGAAATCAATTGGGCTTTGTTTTGGCTAGTAAGAGTAGTGGCAATGTTAAATATTACAGACTAAATGTGATTAATGTAATGCCAAATTGTAGGTATTGTGGACAAATTTGTGTTCATATTTGCGGGACATTTTTCTTCCATGCATTATCATTCTGTTGGTATTTTTTTTTTTTACCTAATTCTTTTTTGTTGTTTTAGTTAAGGTGTTAAATGAATTCTGTGAGTTTTGGATGTTAGATTTGTGAAGGTAGAAGACTACTAATTTGCCATCACTAGCCCTACCACTAGTGAGGTGGCAATTGACAAACAAAAAAAAAAATCAAGACACAAACAACAGTGCTACAGAGCACTAGTAGAGCTGCTCTAAAAACAGTTCTATTGAGGTGGCATCTCATTTTAATAAAAAAAAATTAAAAAATAAATAAAAGACAAAACAAGAAGAAGAAAAAGATAAATTTATGCTCATTTAGAGCTCCCCTTTTAGAGGTCTAAGTCATTTTTGAGACACAAATTAACTATGATACATACCACTAAAAGTAGCTTTAGTGAGGTAGCATGCCTAAAAAAAAATTAAAATTAAAAGAAAGAGGAAAAAGACAATTTAATTCTCCTTTAGTGCTCTTCTTTTAGTGCTCTAAATCATTTCTCGACACAAATGCACTGTGGCAGTGGTTGGGATCCACTGCTACATCATTAGAGCCACCACTAATTAGTGGTCTAAGGCATTTTCCATTGAAAAAATCTATATTTATATTAGAAAAATGATGCAGACCACTAATATGATACATACCACTAAAAGTAGTTTTAGTGAGGTAGCATGCCTAAAAAAAAATTAAAATAAAAAGAAAGAGGAAAAAGACAATTTAATTCTCCTTTAGTGCTCTTCTTTTAGTGCTCTAAATCATTTCTCGACACAAATGCACTGTGGCAGTGGTTGGGATCGACTGCTACATCATTAGAGCCACCACTAATTAGTGGTCTAAGGCATTTTCCATTGAAAAAATCTATATTTATATTAGAAAAATAATGCAGACCACTAATTAGTGATTGCACTAGGGATGTGGCAGTGTGTTTTGTGTGTTAGTTTTTTGTGTTTTTTTTTTTTGACTTGCCACATCATTAGTGGCGATGTTAGTGGTGATATTTTAGTGGTCTGTATCATTATTGTTTATATTATTATTAAAAGGGAACAGTTCAGTTGATATTTATGAATTTTTTTTTCTTTTGTTAAGTGGCCTCCTCTTAAGTATTAATTTTTCTATCCAAAAAGAAAAAAAAAATAGTAGTTAAAAAGGAACACAAGATTTGAATTTAAAACCATCCATTTATTTATTAAAAAAATAATTTTGTCACTTAAACAACATAAAAAATATATTATCAATTTAAAATTAAAATTTATATTTTAAATACACCCATTGAGCAGGTTCACATCCCTAATTAAATTGTAATGTATTTTCGGTTTGGATTTTCCAACCAACAGAATAAAATGATTCAATTCGTTACTACTTAATTTATCTTCAATTACAGCCAAACAAATTACATTTCTAATTCGCATTTTAATTAAAAATATTCTCCATTTTCGTAATTTTATTTCAAACATGATTTTTCAATATATATATTTATACTATTATTAAAAATGAACACTTCCGTTCATGTTTATGATCCTTCTCTTCTTGTATCAAATGTCAATTTCTCTATCCAAAAATAATAATAATAATAATAATAAAAGAAACACAAGACTTAAATACAAGACGTTATGATCATTGACATAATAAAGAATACTTTCACTATGTAAATGACATATACAACATATTATAAATTTAAAATTAAAATTTATATTTTAAATACAGCCATAGAGGCTCACACCCTTTTGTATACATTTCTCCAAATAAAAATACAACTTTTCGTCAAAAAAACAACCAAACAGTCTTGTTTGAAAACCCTCCAATGTGAGATGGACACCGTGTATGCATGTAAGGTCCCAGGTGTCTGAGAATGCATTTATTTGTAAACTCATCATCATCTCTCTGCCTCTCTCTCTTCCAAACCACCAAATCAGCAAATTTCAGTTCAATCCCTCTCTACACAAGGGCCATAATCTGCAAGTCCACCTTCAAAACCCTACATTTCAAACCCTAATTCCCAAAACCCCTAATTATCCCCCAATTCAACCCTCAATCTTCCAAAGTCAGGACCTTTTTTCAATCGTTGATGGGCACGATTAGGGTTTCCAAGGAAACCCTCAACCCCTCTTCTGTCTCCACCTCTTCTTCCACTTCTCGCACCGAAACTGTAAATGGGTCGCACGAATTCAAGATCACAGGGTACTCTCTCTCTAAGGGCATGGGAATCGGTAAGTACATACCTTCCGAGACTTTCATGGTTGGTGGGTACTTGTGGACAATCTATTTCTACCCAGTAGGTTTGGCACAACTTTAGGACAATGCTTCGCATGTCTCACTGTTCATCGCTCTCGCTAGCGAGGGCTCTGAGGTGAGAGCTTTGTTTGAATTGTCACTCATGGATCAGAGTGGTAATGGGAGGCACAAAGTTCACACCCATTTTGGCCGGGCGCTCGATACCGGTCCCTACACCCTCAAATACCGTGGAAGCATGTGGTAAGCTGTGTATATATATGTGTGTGTGTATTCATTGAATTTCAAATTTTTTTTATGTCTAATTCGTGTTAATCTTAGTCTCCATAGATTGTTATGAAGAATGGGAAAGTTTCTACAAATTGGCTATGTTTCAGTAAAGTAAAGCTAGTTTTACACTATGTTTGGCAAGCTAGGATAGAAAAGAAAAGAAATAATTGGTTAAGTTAAGAGAGAGAAGAAAATTAGAGAAAAGATTGTGTTTTTTTTTTTTTTTTTGAACTACATATAAAAAAAAGGGCCCTCTTACAACCAATATTACTAAATAAACGTTGATGTTTTTATGCATCACAACACTTCTTAGAAAACGAGGAACGATTATTGAGTACCAAGTGCTCTACTTTTGTAGGTCACAAAATGTTTATTGTTAGGAAACAAGAAAGGGTTATTGAATATCAAGTGCTCTAGTTTTGTAGATCACAAATTATGTATTCCTCTTTCAAGGGCATAGAACATTCATTTATTTTTCTTAATTTCTTAATCTGGTTTCTTTGCCTCTTTAATTTATATTGTAGTGTTTTATTATCTTCATGAGAGATTAGTTGTTAATTCTATGCTTCCATGATTGCAATTTCCTTTACTTAGTTGGATTAGTGTCTTCAATGGTTAGTTTTCATCCAAGTTTCATTATTTCAAATTGATATTATATATTACAGTGTGGTAATTTCTTCCCTTGTTCTTTGTGAGACCTCAAACAGAAGGTCTATTTGATGTAATATAGGCTTCTTTAATGTTGTGTGCTTTCTTCCTATTTTGGGGTTCACTTCATCTCTAGATGCTAAATTTATCAATTGAATTAATGTTTTTGTCTTTTGAATTTTTTCTTTTGCCTGTTCATATTTACATTTTGAATTGCAAATGGACTTCCTGAAGCAGAGTATAAGAAGCTCAAGGAAGGCTAAATTCAGAGAAGTGATAATACTTAGACATTAGTATGATTTCATAGAAAAACTAATAGAAATCTTCTACAATTATGTTTCTAGTATTATTAGTCTTATTTTATTATTATTTTTAGGTTTTCTAGGATTTTTAAGAGTAGGGGTATTTTGGTAATTGTATATTTACTGACATGACCTGTATGGGTCGCCCATAGGTTGTCTTGTGGGTCAAGTTATTTAATTAGTCTTTGTTTTTGTTTCTTATTTGGTCTTAAATTAGTTTTAGAAATTAAAGATATTTTAGTAGTTTCATTTTTTTTGTTCTAATTGGTTTAGGAAGTCTCCTAATCCTATATTAAGGCTTTTAATGCTTATAATTGATGGAGTTGATATTTTATAAAAAGTTGAGAGTTTTGAAGCTTCTTTATAGGTTATGTGATGCAATCAAATCCTAGGTGTGATGTCTAAGGAATTCTAGGAGTGATTCTTAGATCTATCTTCTTCTTCTCCTTTCTTCTTCTTTTTTGCTTTAGTTTACTATTCACAGCCTCATAACAGTCCCTAAACAGTGCTAAAATCCCATCTTTTCATGCTTAAACTCTTACCTATTTATTAACCTAAACAAATTCTACTTGTCCCCTATATTCTTATTGCAATTTCGGCCATAAAATCCAATTAAAATCAAACCCCAAAATCTGGATTTGCTGCTGTCCCTAATTGTCCTACATCAATTTGGTATTAGAGCTTAAGGTTTCACCACTATGTTCTTACAAAGTGGTAAGAGATCCTACGTGCCACAATATGTTATATACCCCATAACAAAGAAGTTCCAGATTTTGAAGGAAGAGATGATCCTATGATGTTCTTTAATGGGCTTGTTTCAATTGAGGAATATTTTGATTGCTATGATTGGACGGATGATCGAAAAGCAAGATTTGCCAAGATGAAACTTGTAGGTTTGGCACAACTTTGGTGGTATCGTGTTGAAGAATATATAAGAAGATTGGAATTGCCACCAATAAACACATGGCAAGAGATGAAAGCTAAGCTTCAAGAGAGGTATATACTTTCAAATAATCTTTTTGAGTCATGTGACCAATTTGTTAATTCAAGACATGGCAACACTTTCTTTGAAGAATCTATGCAAAGACTTGAGACACTTGACACTCGAAATCGAGTTTTGAAAGAATCATGTTGAAGACTTGCTAGATTTAAACCTACATTAAGCCCTATTATTAGGCAAGAAGTGCCACATCAGTAAAGATATAGCATGGAGTACACACAAGAAGTTGTACCAAGGCTGAAAGCTAGAGCTAAAGATCAAAAGCTTGTGCAATTGAAGCTATAAGTGAAGGAGAACAATCAAACCTTGCACAAGGTGAAAGATGACCAGATTTTGAAGGATAACAAGGCTCTTGCTAATGATCCAAAAGCACCCCGAAGAAGATCTAGTTATTACTAGAGTCCAAAGCGAGGAATTGGATGCTATGGAAGCTGTAGGGACTAAAGAATCGAAGCAACCGACTGCTAGTGTTTAGCAAAATATGCCTTTAAAGCATATGCTGAAGTTACAAGAGGATTGCAAAATTGAATTGCA